ATGGAACAGAATAGAGAACCAAGAGATGAACCCAGCTACTTACTGTTACTTGATCTTTGACAAGCCAATTAAAAACATTCAGTGAGGAAAAGATTCCCTATTTAACAAATGACGCTGGGTGAACTGGCTGGCAACCTATAGAAGACTGAAACTGAATCCACATCTTTCACCATTAACTAAGATAGACTCTCACTGGATTACAGATTTAAACTTAAGACATGAAACTATAAAAATACTAGAAGAAAGTGCAGGGAAAACCCTTGAGGAAATCGACCTGGGCAAATATTTTATGAGGAGGACCCCCCTGGGCAATTGAAGCAGCATCAAAAATACACTACTGGGACGTGATCAAACTAAAAAGCTTCTGGCACAGCCAACAATACAGTAAATAAAGCAAGCAGACAGCCCTCAGAATGGAAGAAAATTTTTGCAGGTTATGTCTCCGACAAAGGTTTAATAACCAGAATCCACAAAGAACTCAAATGGATTAGCAAGAAAAGAACAAGTGATCCCAGCTCAGGGTGGGCAAGGGACTTGAACAGAAACTTCTCTGAAGAAGACAGGCGCATGGCCTACAGACATATAAAAAAAAATGTTTATCATCCTTAATCATCAAAGAAATGCAAATCAAAACTACTTTGAGATATCATCTAACTCCAGTAAGATTCACCCACATCACAAAATCCCCAAACCAGAGATGTTGGCGTGGATGCGGAGGAAAGGGAACACTTCTACACTGCTGGTGGGAATGCAATCTAATACATTCCTTTTGGAAAGATGTTTGGAAAACACTTAGAGATCTAAAAATAGACCTGCCATTTGATCCTACAATTCCTCTATTAGGTATATATCCAGAAGACCAAAAATCACATTATAACAAAGATATCTGTACCAGAATGTTTATTGCAGCCCAATTCATAATTGCTAAGTGATGGAAGAAGCCCAAGTGCCCATCAACCCACGAATGGATCAATAAATTGTGGCATATGTACACGATGGAATATTATGCAGCCTTAAAGAAAGATGGAGACTTTAACTCTTACATGTTTAAATGACTAGAGCTAGAACATATTCTTCTGAGCAAAATATCTCAAGAATGGAAGAAAAAGTATCCAACATACTCAGCCCTACTATGAAACCAATTTATAGCTTTCTTATGAAAGTTATAACCCAATTATAGCCCACCAAGATAGGGAAAGGGGAGAGGGAGGGGAGAGGTGAGGATGTGTAGATGGAGGGTAATTGGTAGGGCCACACCTATGGTGCATCTTACAAGGGTACATGTGAAACTTACTAAATGTAGAATATAAATGTCTAAACATAATAACTAAGAAAACGCCATGAAGGCTATGTTAACCAGTTTGATGAAAAGATTTCAAATTGTATATAAAACCAGCACATTGCACCCTGTGATTACATTAATATGCAAAGCTATGATTTAATTAAAAAAAAGATTCAAAAAAATTATTATATATTACTATACAAGTAGAATGATTTTGAAGTAGTTCTTCTTTTTCTATTGTCTATAAGATTTGACATGATCTGTTTTATTTAATTATCTATTTTTATTTATAAAAATTGGTTGGCTATTTTTTGAGACTTTGGGAAAAAATAAATAAGAAGTTAACTGATGATGCCATACTGAACTCAGAGTCAAAGCATTCTATGATAAACATACTCTTATCTGACAATGTGAATGTTACCTTTTTGCATTATTATTATTATTATTACTGCTCAATATTTCATTGCAGCAATCATCCGATTTCTTTGCTAAATGTATTTATCTTCATTCATTCTTTATGAGGTTTTGGTTTCTAGTCCTTATGTTAAACACTGTTATCGTTACTAAATTTTAAGCCTTTTTAATTTTGAAGGCAAAAAGTGGAAACCAAATGAACATGTGTATATGTATAGAGAAAATTAAAAATTATACATTTTAGATATAAATTTATGTAATGACTGTTGTATCATCATTTACTAAATCTGACATTTTAGATTAATTTTAGTTTGATTTCTTACCAGTATATAAAAACAGAAATGCCTTGGTAAAAAAAA